GCTGGTAACCATTCACACTTTTAGCTCGGTTTTTTAAACAGTCAAACCTCCTTCGCGTTTGATATTGATGATGAGGTGAATGCAATCAAAGCCGTTTCGTAAGCAGTGAAAGATACTGCAAAGACAGAGATACTGGATTAGTATATAGCTGCGTAATCAAAATATCATTAACTTTTTTTACGTAACATTTTTATTCGAATGACTCAAAAGACTTTACTCACATATCGTACGATCATCATATGTATTAGATTTGGCGCAATCATCTTAGTCATCTATAAAAATGAAACAGAAGATGAGGAGAAAAAACGGCGCAAAAACATTTGACGCACATTTCGAACGTATGTAGGCTGAAGTGTTTTCATTTCACAGGATTGATTTTCTCAGAAAAATTTAAAGTTTCAACGTATTATGGCTTATGTTTCGGTAGATGGCATTAGTGTGGGTCCAATGTTCCATTTATTTCAGTGTAGCTATGACCAGATGACCAAAATTTGTAAGAGTAGCTTGTAGCGACATCTTTTGAGGCCATTGATAAAAGCTGAAAATGAAAGAGTTTTAGGCTCGTTAGCAAAATATTGGCTCTGTTTTGAAAATCTTTCAACGCTTTTTTTTTATTTAAACAAAATGATAAAGCTTTCATGCACACGGGAATAAACTGCGCTCCTGCTGATTTTAGTAACACCACATACGACCTTCATCTAATTTAAATTGTCGCATAATATGAGCAACTCAACGTATTGTTGAAGGGAATTAATTCAGACGAAGATTGATTTGATGAGAGAAGAAACCTACGTCATTCCTAATTTGCCGTTTTAGATGAAAAACAAATCCAGTTCCATTAATTAATCCAGTTCTCAATAGCAAACTGTCCATTTCAGGTCAGCATCGAAAATACGACAAAAATGTGGCTATTGGCAACCCGATTCGATTAACCTTTTTCGTTGTAAAATACACAATATGTATGCAAATCGACGCGATTAAATTGCACAAACGCTTCGATCAACCTATTTACGTTGTTTGATTTAATTGAATGGGATTAACGGTATTTTTAAATACTGATCATGATTAAGAACACCCCTGATTGATTTCTTTCTAGGTTTATTTTCTCGCGAAAACGGTAACATTGGTAGCAGAGACTGAAATTTCGGGATCTTCTGCCAGATTCGAGATTCCCCGAATTGAAAAATGCTTCACTAATTCGAAAATCGGGATGTTACTTTTTTATTTTCGAAAACCATAATTTGGTGTTGAGTCAATTTATTCTATTATTTTATCACTTATCAACATTATTTTTTTCATAAATGTGATACTGCACACTAGAAATACAAACTCGATTCGTTTGTCTTAACTGTATCAGGTTGGCAATCGTGATTTTTGTGTACTATATGACAGCACGTGAATGTTTTTTTTAATATTTGATTTCAATTATTGCTAATAAGGTGACTATTTTGTATTGATGCGTGTTTTAAGAATTGTCATTGCTCTCCACAATTCAAAATGATCTTATGCTTTTTTTGGCGTTGAATAAAACTTGTGAGTTTTGGCTCAAAAACCGATCAAAATGCAGGTTGAGAAAACATATTTTTTGCAATGTAAGCCGTTTTAGTGTTGTTTTGGTTTATGAATTATCATTTAAGTGCATATAAATCAATTCTAGAGGAATTTTTACGAAAATTGATTCGTTTATGATTGTGCTTTCAATGAGAAAATGGACGAAGAATCTGATGAATCAGAGTAGCTCCAAAACGCATTATTGGACAATGAATTCCTCATAATTTTGAAGATAAATCGTATTTTTACACTTTTAATTACATTTTTTTTTTGAATTCTCAACCTGCATCAAAAAAAAAAATTCTGCCATTTTCAACACTCTGAGAAAATTGATCATAATTTTTTTGGCAAAGCAATCACACAAGTGTCTTGGGCAAAATTGCAACTGGGACATTATCTTTCAATTAACTCTTCTAAATCTTTGTCCAACACAGAATTATGTACAAAACAAATAGTGTTTCTTAACCTGCACCGATACAGTTGTTCATTTCCCGATATAGTGATAATATAATATCAGCATAATAACGTCGATCGGATCAAAATAACGGTTTTTTTTTTGCATCAAATTTACGTTTTCCACAAAAAATTATCACATTTTATGAGAAAACAATGGGAAAAATAAACCAAAATACACAATTCCAATTCAATTCGGTCATTTATTCAGAATAAAAATTTTGCAATTATTGTGTCTATTAAATGAGAACAAATCCGATGATTTTGCTGAGAGAGTGTGTGAAAAAGTACCAAAAATACAATCGAAAAAAACCTTACACTTGAAACAAAACATGTAGTGATTTAGTCGTGCTGTAAATGATTTGCGACAGTTGAATTTTTTTTATTCTAGATAAACGACCGAATTGAATTGGAACTGTGCACTTTGGTTTATTTTTCCCATTGTTTTCTCATAAAATGTGATAATTTTTGTGAAAAACGTAAATTTAATGCAAAAAAAAAAACCGTTATCATGATCCGATCATAATAACATATTATTAGTAATAACGTTATTATTATCACGGAACAACATATTTTATCATTGGAATAACTGTATGCAGCGATGTTTCCTATCCATTTTATTCGTAATAATGCCCGAACATTTTTAAAATCAGGATCTTCTGAAAATTTGAAATTTCAGTCTCTGATTGGTAGCGATTTTTATCGAAATACGAAAATACGAAAACAACCAGTTGCTACCAGTTTTTGTGTGTTCCGGATACAAATTATGTATTTAAAATAAAGGGATAAGTTGTGATTCAAGAAATGCGGATAGACATGCTTATTAAATGATACCTTATACGTTCAGATGTTTCTCAAATTAATCATTCCATGCTATTCAAATGGTTCGGTGAGCGAAGAGACGTTTTGTCGTGTAAAACACTAAGTACTATCTAATCTATAATCCGGGTGCATCGTTTAGATTTTGATGGTAGTTTTATTGATTGAATGTCATAGCTTGTATCTTTATTTCAATTTTCTCACTTTCAGTCGAGATTTACGGGAGATTAATGACCCGGGAGATTAATTTAACATCATTTGTATCACCACTGTTTAATTCTAACAAATTAGTTTTTATGTTTGATCAAATGAAAGACTGTTCAAACTGCGATGGAATCGTTATCATCTTCGTGTTTGATTTATAATTGGTTGTAAATTGGATCCTAAGATAATTGATTCAAACTATGATGATCGTCATCCGAATCTTCAGATGAAATGATCCACTTGAGTTGCGAATTCAATTTTTTTTTTCAATAATTAGCGTGGCTCAGTCCGCTTCGCTGGGCATAAATTGATGGAATGGCAGAAAATTTGAATGGCACGTATTATTGGTTCTGTGAGTGAATTTTCTGTTTTGAAAATAGCAGATTTTCATTGTATTATTTTTTTCTCTGAGTTTGTTATTCAATTTGTGAGAAATTAATAAAGTTGGTTTTAAAAAATTTAGACAAATTTAAAAACTTTTAATTTACATATGCAGAGAATGCGTTGTGAAAATCAAGAAGCGAGATAGAACCCATAGAACCGAAACGAGAGCGACCCGCGCGCGGTGCGTTTCACAACGCATTCTCTGCATATGTGAATTAGGAATTTTTAAATTTTTCTAAATTTTTTAAAACCAACTTTATTAATTTCTCACAAAAAAAAATTGAATATCAAACTCAGAGAAAAAATAATACAATGAAAATCTGCTATTTTCAAACTAAAAAATTCGAAAAACTTTGGGAAACCCGGGACCTGGAACTATGGGAAAATAACACCTTTTTTTAAGCGGCTATATTTTTTTATTGGAACGTCAAACACACGTGGTGAGTCTTTTTAAACCATCCCTATGAGGTCCCAAATGCACCGCAAAAAAAAAAAATTGATTATCTTCAGCCAGTAGATCCAAGATCGCTTAATAAACGGAGAAAAACGACACGCAGCCCTCTAGGCGAGGGACACTCAAAACAGTCATCGTACATATATTGAGCGGACACTATCGATGCGTTCATTTGTGTGAGTGCGATTGTGTAAACGACAATGTTCGTGTTCAATATGTGTACGATGACAGCTTTGAGCATTCCACGCGTAGAGGCGTCTTGGCGTCTTACGTCAAACCTTTCCCATGTATTTGTATACGAAGAAAGCAACCTTGGTAGATCAAACATTGAGGACACACATTAAGTAACTTGTCTTTATATATATATAGAAGATATGAGCTACGGTTGGCTGTTACTGTACTCAAATACAAATACACGTAGTTGTGCACACACTAATTGTCGTCCAAAAATTAGCGTGGCCCATACATCTATGAGCGACAATGAGTGTGGTGCACCTGCACATATTTAGAGTGTGTAGTACATGTATGTAACACTCGTTGACGATCACAAATGCATGGGCCACGCTGATTTTTGGACGACAATCAGTGTGTGCATTGTACATTGTATATACACACTAACTCGATTTTTTTGGCACGTTGGAACAAACTAGTGTGCAATATTGTTCGAAAGAGAGAGAGAGAGAGAGAGAGAGAGAGAGAGAGAGAGAGAGAGAGAGAGAGAGATAATCTCCACACATGGTTTTTCTTCTTATCATTCTTTGCATTTTTTGCGAAACTGATAGGAGATAAGTGATTATTGTCTGTGCAAAGTTGTAGAGGACAAAATCAAATTTTACTTAACCCAATGAGGGTTTTTTTCGGCTATAGGTGCACTTTCACCCCCTCATAGTCAAGGTCTTGTTCTCTTCAACTTTTCTAAAATTGCTCCACTGTGTAAAGAAAAAACAATAGATTAATCAAGAGATTAATTTTAGTGCTAATTTTTGACAACGTTTTTAATAAATAACCGAAAGAAAAGCTTAATCACAGATCGCTTAAGCGATTAACCTGATGACATCTTAATGTGACAAAAGCCACATGTGATAAATGGAAATAAAAATCATTTGGATATGTCAAAAAATATGTTTACGTTAATTTGTTTTTGATGCAGCAATAAATTTATCATATCTAACGACACGATTTTGGTCGCGATAAAGAAAAAATAAAACCGTTGAATAGAGCCACTTGAAATCGATAGATTTGAATATTATACGAACGTGAGAAATTGATGTATCGATCGAAAAGTGTAACAAAACTGATGGACAAAAATAGCTTTTGTTGAAATTGGAATAATTTAAACCTAGACGATGTAGCGTCTTCATCCATTTTTAGGTGAATAGATGAGGATATTTGGGGCGAACTTGCGTAACAACCGCTTGAACTCCCTATTTTGAACTCTCTTCGTCAGGAACTGTCCAGCTGTACGATAAAGCAATCAATGAACCGAAAAGGAAAGTTTCTCTGTTAGCATTTTGCCGTGTTTCTTTCTCCTTGGTTTTCTGGTTCTAATTATCCGTGGCATTTCTGTTGGTCACCTTCGCTAAAAGAAAATACTGGAGCACAAGCACAGTTAATTGTGGCAAAGTTTTATCAATGTATACAAATACATGTATCCAATTTTTTTTTTACTATATCCGTAATGTCAAATGCTAATGAAGTGAATGACTATGCGCGTGTTAAGCATGTAATAAATATTTGGTGGAGGTATCGCACACATATCTTGAATTGAGAGCACCTCACGCAAACACATTTGAATTGACCGTCAACACCGACAAATTTGTATAAACGACGAAATCTCTTGACCGATGTCTTTTCGAATGAATACGGTTCCGTGTACAGGTTGTACGCATTTTACAGATATACCCAAATCGGTGGCGAAAAGGTTGCCTCATCTGCATCTATTAAATGTAATTTAAATTTGTCGTATAACGCTTAATGCTTGTGATCTTTGATTTTCTTCAAATCTTTTTTCGCGGTCGAATTGCTATGATAGCCGAAAATTGTGATTTGTACATGACAAATCCAAAATTTCGGCCATTCATTACACGTGTGGATATCCATTGGATGTTTTAGTATAAAAGAGAATCAGAGCACAAGTCAATCATCAGTATCCAGTTCGATTTCATCGAATCAACAACAAACCAAACCAAAAAAAACAAAACTTTTTCAAAATGTTCAAATTGGTAAGTGGGTTGAGACAGATTTATTGAATTCACCAAGGAATAGCCGAGCAGAAAATTGTGATTAATTTTTGTGAAATAATAATAATCAACGGACAAGTGCTTCACAATATTTTTTTTCTCTTTTCATTGTGCTCGTGTTTTTTCTCTTGTGATCGATATGCGTTTGCTTCTAACGAAATTTTAATGAAAATGAAGAAGACAAAATATCATCAACATTCATTGCGATCAAAGTGCATTGAAGTTTCCATCTGAAGTGCAGCATTTTGTTTTAATCGTAGTGCTAATAAATCAAAATAATTGAAATCATGTTGTTTTTTCAGTGTGCATTCATCGCTTTGGTCGCTGTTGCCAGCGCAGCCAACCAACAAGATGCTCAAGGCGAAATTCGCAGCTTGAAAAACGTATGTGTACCGTATTTTTTTCTCCATTATGTTCCATTACAACAATTAAATTTGAAAGAAGAATAGACATTTCTTAATGAAAATTCCAATCGAAATATGAATCAATTGAATAAAATAAAATTGTCTTCTCTAGCTACCAAACACCGGTGACGGATCATACGCATATGGTTTTGAAACCAGCAACGGTATTGCTCAACAAGAATCAGGTGTAGGTGGACAAAATGCTCAAGGATCAGCCACCTGGTACTCACCAGAAGGTGCTCAAATCCAATTGTCATATGTTGCTGACGCTTTCGGTTACCGTGCAACTGGAAACGCTATCCCAACTCCACCACCAGGTATAATTATGATCAATTGGCTACTGCATTAGAGTCAATCGTGTGTAAAGTGAAAAAAAAACCAATGATTTCATTTCCGTTTCACGTTTATTTTAACAGTGCCAGAAGCCATCGCCCGTTCACTCGAATACATCCGTACTCACCCAAGCGCCAAATCACAACCACAACAATTTGCTCCACAACAACAACAATTCGCCCCACAACAACAATTTGCTCCACAACAACAACAATTCGCCC